ACTTATTTAAAGGAAGTTTTACTCTTTTATTTGTCTTTCAAAGAAGTTGGTTCGACAGCGTCTGCAAGTAAAACACAGTATTGACTACTCCAACCGATTTTACAAGTTTGTTAAGTGTTAAGTTCATTAGTAGGCCTAAGTCAGTAAACCTTAATTATTTACAAAATGCCTTGCAGTAAATGCATGTGTTGAACTGGTGTGGAATTAAAATGTCATAATTAACTTCTAAGAGTTAACTGTCGTTGACAGAGGGAGTTGTTAAAGTAATATAGGCTGAGTTTAGTTAAGACCTAACAATAAGAACATGTACTTTCAATTAATACACTCTCAGAGGTGCCCAGTACGTGGGCGACCGGGGGCAATGCTGGTAGACCGCGAGTCATTCATTAAAAAAAATCAAGCTCCGTTATAATAGACAAAACAGGTTTTGATCCCTCCTCCCTGCCACTTAATTCAGGAGTTTACTTGATTGACAGAAAAAGCGACCTATCGCTTTCCAGTCTGTTAACCCAGAATGCAAAGCGATATAAAATCAGTCAAGTGCCGGGAAAACTCAAATTAATGTAAACAAGAGACAAACAAGAAACAAACAACAAAATGAGTGCGGGACCGAGCAAGAAGCTAAAGACAAACCACTTCCACCCAGAATGGGAGGAAGAATATTTTTTTGTGATGTCACATTCAAACGTGATTTGCCTTATTTGTAAAGCAAGCGTCGCTCTGCCAAAGAAATGTAACGTGGAGAGGCATTATCGGAGTGTTCACAAGGCATATGACAGCGACTTCCCTCCGAGTAGCGAGTTGAGAAAGAGAAAGAGAAAGGTGAGGGAACTTAAGTCACAATTAGCTGGACAGCAGTCACTTTTATTAAAGCCGACATCCACCGCAAAGGCAGCCACTGAAGCATCTCTACGAGTGAGTCACGCTATAATCAAACACAAAAAATCCTTTCAAGATGGAGAGATGGTGAAAGAAGCCTTCGTAGAAGCAGCAGACGCCTTGTTTCGGGATTACACAAACAAAACAGAAATAGTAAACGCTATCAAGGCCGTCCAATTATCACGGAGCACAGTCACACGTCGCTGTGAAGTCATGGCTGAGGATTTGACCCAGCAACTCAGGAAGTACATAGAAGACTGCGAGTGTTTCTCACTCCAACTAGACGAGTCCACTGACGTGAGCGATACAGCACAATTGTGCGTTTTTATCCGGATGGTGTTCACAGACATGACGGCGAAAGAGGAACTGCTGACAATTCTGCCAATGAAGGAACACACTCGGGGCGAGGACATTTTTCGGACGTTTAAAAACTTTGTTGACAAAACTAAACTCCCCATGTCTAAGTTGAGTTCCATCACAACGGATGGTGCGCCTGCGATGGTGGGCCGGTGTAATGGCTTCATCGCAAAATGCAGAGAGGATGACATATTCCCTGACTTTCTGAATTATCACTGCATCATACACCAGCACGCACTTTGTGCTAAAATGCTGAACATGAAAGAGGTCATGGATGTGTCACTTAAAGTGGCCTGTTCTATTCGGGCAAGACCTCTTCAAAGACGGCTGTTTCGTGCATATCTGGAGGATGCCGACTGTGTTCACACTGACCTCTTACTACACACCGACGTAAGATGGCTGAGTAGGGGCAATTTTCTCGAGAGATTTCGAGTGCTTCTACATTACATTACATTACATTTAGCTGACGCTTTTATCCAAAGCGACTTACAATACGTACATTCGACCAGGAAGACACAACCTTGAAGACAACAGAATCACCGGAGATAAAGGCATTTCTCCATGGCACCAAGCTCGCTAGTCACCAAGCCACTCCTCGTCTAGATGACGAGGAGTGGCTGTTAGATTTGGCGTTTTTAACAGACACATGTTAAATGAGCTGAACTTGGAGCTAAAGGGAAAGACAGAACTGTGGTTGACATGATCAGCTCAGTTAATGCCTTCACTCAGGCCTTTGGCCTCAACTAATATACAGTACTCAGCAACCTGTTCCTGTTTTTGTTTTCTTCAGCCTATGTATCTTTATTATTACTTTTTGTTTTGTTACTTCCCATTGTAAAGCGTCCTTGGGTTTCGTGAAAGGCGCTATATAAATTGAAATTATTATTATTATTATTAAACGAAGACTGCACCTGCTGTGTTCAAAGCTGCAGCGCAAAGATTTGGCCAACTTCCAAAACATCGCCTCTGAGCTGGAGAAGCAAGGGAAGGACAGCGCGCTCCTTGACAGTGCGCGCTACACAGAGCAAGTCAATAACATTACATCTGACTTTGAGAAACGCTTCCGAGACTTCGCTTTGCTCGAGCCAATCGCCACATTCATGTGCTATCCATTTAGTGAAGACCATGATATTGATTCGCTGGCCCAAAACATCGGAGCAGTGTTTCATCTGAACCCGTCTGCGCTGGAGGATGAGATGTTGTCGCTGCAGGCCGACATCCAGTTGAAGGCGCGTGCCCATGCCGGAAAGTATCCAAACGTCAGAAAATGTGCCACCTCACTGACCTCACTCTTCGGCTCGACTTATTTATGCGAGTCAGCCTTCTCCCAAATGAAGATAGTGAAGTTGAAATACCGTTCCCAATTAACTGATGAACATTTGGAGGCCTGCCTGAGACTAGCCATCAGCAGTTACCGTCCTGATTATGCAACATTGACGGACTCCATTCAGTGCAAGTCATCAGAATATGGTAGGGACCCACCTAAATATATTGAATTGTGTTTTGCAGCATTATATCAGGACCATGGAGAGATGTTTCTTACCCTGCTTGTTTTTATGTGTTTCTTGAGAGAGAGAGAGAGAGAGAGAGAGAGAGAGAGAGAGAGAGAGAGAGAGGAGAGAGAGAGAGAGAGAGAGAGAGAGAGAGAGAGAGAGAGAGAGAGAGAGAGAGAGAGCATATATAACATGCCTATATTGGACCTATGTATATATCATTATAACTTTGAGAGACTGTTCATGGGACCCATTTGAGTCTGGTGTCTAAGTTGAGTGTTCTACTCGTTTATTGTATTCCTTGTACTTATATTTGTGTTTTATGTTTAAGATTTCAGGACATGGAGAGTGGTTTCTTAGCCTGCTTGTTATGTGTTTCTTAACAGAGAGAGAGAGAAATAGAGAGAGGTTAACATGCCATTTTAGTTTTATGTATTCATGTATTTGTTTCTGTAGTTATCCCATGTATAAATAATAAATAAAACGTGTTATTCAGCCCCTTGCAATTTGAGATTTTATTTTTGGTTGGTAGACCTCGGTGAGCTGGTCATTTCAAAAGTAGCTCACCAGCCCAAAAAGTGTGGGCACCCCTGCTCTAGGTGGTAAGTGGTGTCATTGAGAAATATTACCTTGTTCTCTAATTATACACAAGCGGTTAAAACACTAATTCAGGAACACATGGTTGAATAAAGATAAGCGCAAATCTCGCATGTCATTACATTCTCTCAATTAATAAATGTATGTTCTGTAATTTTGCTGTCTACTCACTGAATATCAATGTCGTGTTGTCATGCTTTCTGCAGCAGGGTGTATACTTCCGCCATCTTTTCCTTCTTCTTCTTCTTCTCTCAGGTTCATGGCGGTTACAAAGCAACGATTTGGTGCACTACCGCCACTTACTGGACTGAGGTGTAAAGCAGAAGATTGGAGGAAAAATAAATAAATACATAAACAGGTTTAGGAAGTAACGTATTCAGAGATGGAAAGTAACTAAGTACAAAGTAATGTACTTGAGTACAATTTTGAGATACTTGTACTTTACTTGAGTATTTCAATTGTATGCTACTTTGTACTTTTACTCCACTACAATTCAGGGGCAATGGTGTACTTTTACTCCACTACATGTATTTTGTACCTTTGGTTACTTTACAGATGTGGATTAATGATGTGAAATACAAACAACACTTAAATCAGACTTTAGTTACACCTGGAGTAAATTCACAATCTACCCTGCAGTATACAAAGTCATTAAAACTAGCTGCACCTTTACCAGCTTTGATAAGACTTTAATGATCAATCATTATTCAAAACATACGATATATAATATTAAGAAAAGTACCAATTTGCATGATGAGTACTTTTACTTGATGCTAATACTTTTACCTGAGTAACATTTTAAATGCAGTACTTTTACTTCTAACAGAGTATTACTACACTCCGGTACTTCTACTTTTAATGAAGTACAAGATCTGAATACTTCTCCCACCTCTTAACGTATTACATGCAGTAGTAAAGTAACGTAACTCATTTACTCAAGTACGGCACATAAGTAGAAAATGAAGGTACTTGTACTTCACATTATGCAACTTTATACTTTTACTCTACTACATTTTGTTTCCAAATGGGGTACCTTTTACTCAACTAAATGTATTTATAGATACAAGATATCTAGATACTTGTTATTTTGCAGATTTAAAATATAAATGAATATATTACATAAATGGATAAAAAAGACAAACATAAGTATAAGGGCTCCAACTATTTTGACGTGGCTATGTACTTGGTGTTAACATTTGAGCAAGTAAGGGATACCACAGCTTTTCATACACCCTTGTCCTTCCTTTATATATATACAGGATATATTTTAACACTCCAAGCTCAGTAAATTAATAAAACACATAACTTGAATATTTACAATTTAGCTGATTTGAAAAAACATTACAAAAGTTATACAATATTTTTCTATCGGATGCTTTTGTGTAAGGTATTTTAATATTTAATTTATTTTAAAGCAGATACTAGTGTGTCACACATGCTACTGTACATCAACACCACTATTCATTCCTTGAATTAATTTACATAGTGCCTAGATGTTTATCGAAACATCAGGATATTTTGCTTATTTTTGCACGAAGGAATTTTTTTTTTGGTACTGTGAATTTGCAAAACAAAATGATTGTGCCTGCAGCAGGTAGCTATGCAAAGTCAGTCATACAACATATTCGTGTGGTCATCCGGTTCAGTTGCTTTGGGTAAATGATGCTGCTTTGACCTGACTCAACCAGAGAGAGGTAGGAGTTAAAGTAGATGTGTCTTGTTGGAGAAGCAGTGCTTTAATTTGGAACAATACTTGCTATAAGTCCTGTGCAGCAGTGAATGGATCCCGCACCATGATCGAGACTTAGTGCCATTGAAAGATCATGAGCTGGAAGATTTGTGTTTTATTTGCGGGCCTGCTGTGGATTCATCCTTTTTGTAAGTTGACATGATTTCCTAACACTAAAATCCAGCAAATATCACATTGAAATATTCTCTTGACATATTTAATCATGAAAATAGAAGACAAAATCCTCCAATCTGTTATAATTATTATAATGTGTAAAAAAGAATTGTGTAATAATATGGCAATTTTTTACTTGTTATCTGATTTTATTTAGCCAGTGAATGCGGTAACCAACAGAAAAAGGAATTAAAAACATTTAGAAAATGCTTAAATCAGAAGAAAAGCAATAATTTTGTTGTTGAAGACAGCGTCAATTTCTTCACCGATGCACGAACCGTTTGGAAGAATGGTGAGTCTAAACTATAATAAACATTTTAATAACAGTAGATGTTGGTGGTTGTTAAAACATCCTAATAAATTCTGGAAGAAAGGGTGCACATGTACAGCTTTATTTGCATCTAAAAGCTATATTTATGTTTTTACACTGGTAAAATAATGGGGAACAGCAGCATATTTTTTAGTATCAATGATGAGTGAAGATAATGTAATGTTTATTTTTAATGTACTTAAATATTGTGTATTTTGTTGTTTTGTTATAGTTTTAATATACATTTAAAAATGTTTGTCATTATGTATGCTGCCTTTGAATATCTACACTTCTGTAAAAGGTTAGGAGTAAACTATCTGTTATGAAAGTGTTCACTTTTAGGGATAGTTTGGATTGTTTTAAGTGCGGTTGTCCACCCTCGTCAATACCAAATATTTATATTTTTATACTTTTGTGTATTTATACTTTTACTGCTGTCTATTTTGCAGAGGTGTGAGAAGTACTCAGATCTTGTACTTCAGTAAAAGTAGAAATACCAGAGTGTAGAAATACTCAAGTAAAAGTCCTGCAATCAAAATGTTACTCAAGTAAAAGTAGAAAAGTATTATCATCAAAATAAACTCAAAGTACCAAAAGTAAAAGTAGTCATTATGCAGATTAGTCCATTTCAGAATAATATATATTATATGTTTCATAATTATTGATGCATTAAAGTGTTATCAAAGCTGGTAAAGGTGCAGCTAGTTTGAATGACTTTCTATACTGCAGGGTAACTTGTGAATTTACTCCAGGTGGATCTAAAGTCTGATTTAATACTTGATTATATTTCACATCATTAATCCAAATCTGTAAAGTAACTAAAGGTATTCAATAAATGTAGTGGAGTGAAAATACACCATTTACCTCTGAAATGTAGTGGAGTAGAAGTGCAAAGTAACATAACATGGAAATACTCAAGTAAAGTACCAGTATCTCAAAATTGTACTTAAGTACAGTTTTTGGGTAAATGTAGTTACTTCCCACCGCTGCCATTTTTTACATATCTAGTGTTCATATTCAGCGTATTATTTACCGTACTGTACTCTATATTTATAGAACTCTGTGAAAAGATAATGAAGTTGAATCTAATCTAATCTAAAATCACTAATGTATCTCCTACAGGTAAAGAATGTACAGGAAACAGGAGCCAGGATATGGGAGGTCTTCCAGGTGAGTGTATTTATTAGGAATGATAGTAATTACTTCTGACTGACATATGCTTTAAAGACAATTAAACTCATTATTTCGCTGTGTAGTGCACATGTAGTTGTCTGGACCTGTCTCTATCTAAGTACATTTTGCTGGGCTGGGATTAGCCACCAGTCTCAATCATAAGGTCAGACCACTTGTGTGGCCATGAACTACTGTAAGTAATAATGTATAAGACAACATTGCATTGGTTCAATAACAGAAAAACACATCAATCTTCTTTAAGTTATCTTATTGTTTTGCTTTAAAAAAATCTATTACAAGGTTGTAACTGTTTGCAGTAAAGTTGTGGGGTGCTGAACTGTTCCTTTGAATCTTTTGAATTTTGATATATGATCGTAATTACTTGTCTTTCAAATTTAAAGGAGGGTGAGCAAACATCTTGAGGAACATTCATGATTAACTCCTCTAAAAAATATAATTTATTTAATAATAACACTGAATATGTGAATCATAAAAGTGATTGACAGCTGATAGGAATTATATGATTGTTAATATTATCATATTAATTCAGACAAACATCTGATCTGCCACCCTCGTGCCACCCCATGAATATTTGTCTAGATCTGCCCCTGCACCCCTCCTCCTCCCCTTCGCTCCAACCCCCTTCCCTCCCCCCCCCCATATCTACAGGGGAAAATTACTTTAGCGACACATTCATCACAAGAACGAAGTGTAGCAAAAGTCAAGGCCGCAGATTCGTTGATGTATACTGCCACAGAGCAGATTCGTGAAGTTGTAATGACTGATTTGAGAGGTTGTAATAACCAAGTTGCAGTTGTAATGGAAAATATATTTTAAAAAAATATATTTTTCTGCAAGTGAACATTTCATCACTAAGTTCATTTTTCTTCTACAAGCTACAAAACTTTTTTTTCTTCTTCTGTGACTTCAAATTTGGTTCACAGATACGTGGATATTTTATACAAGTGTAAATGTATGCACACAAGCTCAGATTTTTTTTCTGCAAGTGCTCACATCAGGTTTTACACGCTTTCGCATTTTGCACCATATCTACCTTCATAGCCTCACACTTTGAAAACGACTGATATAAAGGATCCAATAGAAAGCAAATAGTCACACGAAAAGTTAAATAAAATATGGCAACTGCCTGTTCATTTTCATCTCTGGTCAGATGAATACAGGTACAACTTCTGTGATTAACTCAAACTATGTTTCATAACACATGTTGTTACTTTGTTCAGCTACCAATATTGCTAAAGGTGGAAACGTGACTCAGTCCTCCGTGGATAGGGAGGGTGTCCCCGAAAGAGCCATTAATGGAAATCGTGCCAGCAGATGGAAAGAAGGATCCTGTATACACACATCACTACAAATCAAACCCTGGTGGAGACTTGACCTCCTAAAGAGATATAAAATCAACAATGTCACCATCACCAACAGAAAACATTGGCGCCCCATAAGTAACAATGGTGCTGAGATCCGCGTTGGGAATTCCCTCGATGACGATGGCAACGCCAATCACAGGTAACAGCACTATCTGCCTTATACAATATTTACAAATGTTACCTTTCCCCTGAAAGTTATAGAGAAAGATAGAATTGGTTATCTAAATAATTTACTGATATTTTCCTGTTTGTTTCACCAGATGTGCTGTTATCTCATCTCTCGCAGCTGGGAGCTCAACAACATTTGTTTGCAATGGAATGGAAGGCCAGTATGTAAACATTGTAATTCCTGGAGAAGAACAAAAACTGACACTGTGTGAGGTGGAAGTCACTGGTCAACCTTCTGGAAACACTGCTCCAACTGGTAAATTGTACTATATAAGGGGTTTTCAAAGTGTGGGAAGGTGAGCCTCCCCTCAGAGAACATAAGAACAGCCGCGCCCCCCCCCCCCCCAATTATTATTGCTATTATTATTATTAGTATTAGTATTATTATTATCTTTGTTGTTGCTATAATGCAGGGGTATTCAATTGCATTTCAAAGAGGTCCAGTAAGAGAAAATGTCATTAATGGCGCGTTTCCACTGCAGCGGGTAGCCCCGTTTAAGCGTCCTTAACCGTCCTCAAGCGGCCAGGCCGGTTTTTGGTGGCGTTTCCATATAGCCTAGTACCGGCCAGCGGGTACTTTTTCCCTCTTTTTCCGGCCTCATAAAATCGTGGTTCCCTCAGACCAGGGCCAGGGCTGAAACTAGTGACGTCAACACTCTCGACTGCTGATTGGTCAGAGAGAATCGTCACAAGATCGCGCGCGAGTTCATCCCTAGCGTCGCATATATATGTAGAAGCAAGCTTGCAGCATTTTTATAAACAGCATTTTGTAAACGGATGAGCTACAAAAATGGCTACGTCTAATAAGAAAAGCACACCGTGGTCGACCGAGGAGGTGACGACGTTCCTACATCTCATTGGGGATGATCAAATCCAGCGGGAGCTCGACGGAACAACTCGAAATGTGAACAAAAACAAAGCCGATCGCCCCGCCTACACTGCGTTGCTACCCCAGGTCCTAAACTGTAATGGAAATGCGCCACGGCCTGTTCCGGCCAGCGAGGCAGCCCGAGGCCTGAGCGAGGACGCTTAGGGACGCTTAAACGGGGCTACCCCGTTGCAGTGGAAACGCGCCATAAATGCTCTGTTTTCGCTGTCTACCTTCCGCCATTTGAAATTACTCCGCCTGTTTCTCTCAAGCCCCCAGGAAGTGCGCCGGACTCAGATGAAAATATTCGTGCTGGCCAAACGGCGGTACTACACTTCCGTTTGGTTGCCAGGCCCGGAAACACTTTCCCCCATTGACTTACATGGGGAAAGAGTGGTCTGTAACTCGTTGGATAATTTGTTTTAAACTAAATAAACTACCCAGTATGAACACTTGTATAGCCCTTATTAAAAATATTCGTTCCTCAAGTTGTAAAAATGTGCTAATAACGTTATTCTGAGAGTTATTTCCCTCTGCATTATGAACGCGCATCTAACCCACGGGACCGCGCCGCCCGGCACGTTCATGTTACGTGTCCCGACCAATCAGAGCACACTGCTCACAGGGAGGGTGGGGCTGGAGCTACAACGAGCTGTTAAAGGAAGAGAGTGAAATTCAGTGAATACACGTAGTTTACATAGATGCTGTATGAGAAACCAATGTGAGTTGCGTTTATCTTTACCCATGGATGCACAATAAGAACGGATCCATATCGTCTTACTGCCATCCCACGGAGCTGTAATAATGGATATATTGCACATGTTTGCTGTAATTCATTATCATACTACATGGGCTGTATGATTAAATCTTGTACCGTAAATGTTGTATTAAATAAAGTTAATATTACCGACATTATTAACGTCCCTGTAGCTTCGTATTGCACTAAGAAGCTTATTGCACTGTATAATATATATATATATATATATATATATATATATATATATATATATATATATATGTAGTGCAATAATAATTTCATGCTAAATGAAGCTCTGTTGGATATCACTAGATCCTGTTACAGCGTAATATAAGTACATAACGATTGATGTGTACATTAGCATCATTACTAGCTAGCCGCTAGCTGCTAACTGCCGCCTCGTTCATATCAAATCCATGATAACAACAAACCATTACCATGCTGTCATGAACGCACGGTGCTGTTACGTGTACGCAAATTGACGTGCTTGATATGAACGAGCATTTTTGGTTAAAGTTGCGCATGCTCTATGAGTGCACATACGGGTACTTCTCAGGCATGCTGGGTAATCTGTGACGTTTCACTCTCTCAAAAGTTGGGCCATTTTATCATCATGCTAATGAGCAGCTCTCATAGGAATGAATGAGGCCCCGCCTCCCACGCTGTATCCAGTTCTTATTATACATCCATGGTTTCTCTCCTCTTGTCTTGTGTCTGTGTGTGTGTTTGAATCTATCGTGCTGACTCACTGACTGCACCGATTTGATTGGCTGAGTAGCGTCACCTCCTTAAAACATTAAACAATAACTTTTTTAAACCTTTTTATCTTTATGTTTTACACATATTGTATACAACTCCCCCACTACTTGGACTATTCCTTGCACCCCTCCAGGGGCGGATCTACCGGGGTGGCATGTTGTGGCAACTGCCACCCTAAAAATAGGCCTTGCCACCCCAGCTGCAGCTTTGTTTTGAAAGAAAAGTTCTGGCTCATCGGACATTTATGAGAGAAAATGTCTAATGTCCGAGTGCAAGTGAATGCAGCACAAGACGCAAGCCTTGTAACCCCTCCCCCGGCCCTGGCGCGAGCCTTGAAATATGATTGGCTGCGATTTCATTTTAACAGGACGGCGCTAAACGCGAAGCATTCGGACCCAAGTAGACGGAAGAAATGAGGTATTTGCAGTCTACAATGACAGAGAAGAGACTGTCAAGTTTGGCTGTACTCAGCATTGAATCAAAACGCACTAACGCTTTAGATCTTAATCAGTTTGTGAGGCGTTTTGCTGAACAAGATGGTAATCGCCGCATTCAGCTGTTATAGGCATGCCAACTTAATGCTCTGCTCACGGATGATCATAAAAAAACTGTTAAGATGAGGACCTTGTTTTTGTGTATATTTTTTTTTTCTTTGTGGGGGTCTGCCCCAAAAAACAGTTTTAAGTCCTGACAAAGTCAAATAAGACGGTGTGTAAAACTACACTGCCCAACCACTTTGATTATAGGCCAGTAGGTAAGGACTTTCCACTGGAAAATAACTGCAGCGATGTATATGTTTTAGCTGAATACACGTTTTTTAACCCCAACTGATGCAGTTAGTCACTTCTTTAATGTGTGTTCTTTCTGATGTAAAGTCAAGGTTGTAACTGTTTGCAGTAAAGTTGTAGGGTGCTGAACTGTTCCTTTAAATCTTTTGAATTTTGATATATGATCGTAATTACTTGTCTTTCAAATTTGAAGGAGGGTGAGCAAGCATCTTGAGGAACATTCATCATTAACTTGTTTTTTTTCCATTAACAGTTTAATAACACTGAATATGTGAATCATAAAAGTGATTGACAGCTGATAAGAATGATATGATTGTTAATATTATCATATTAATTCAGACACACATCGATGAGACAGTTAATTAATGTACTTATTGCAGCAGTCTGCATAGCTTTGGTACCCCTGCTGGTCTAATAGTGAAACAAACTCATTCAGTTATTGTCAGAGGTGGGACCAAGTCATTGTTTTGCAAGTCCGAGTCAAGTCTCAAGTCTTTGCGCTCAAGTCCGAGTCAAGTCTCAAGTCATTGTTTTGCAAGTCCAAGTCAAGTCTCAAGTCAGGTTGGGCAAGTTCAAGTCAAGTCAAGTCCTAAACTTTGACAAAACGAGTCATAAACAAGTCATTATGTGTTTTTCACCAAATGTAATGACATCGATCAACAGAATAATACTTAATAATCAAATTGCTCTTTATTAGTCACATTAATAATTTAATAATCCATTTTCTCTCTGCTGGTAAAGTAACGTGTGTTTTTCTAATTTAAGAGGGATCAGTAAGGTAAGGCTACCGTGACGGTTTGATTCAGAAGGAGTTTAATGGATAAGATCCCTGATGTTGAGGTGACCAGAATGTTTATTTCTACTGTGTACAACATGTTATAAGGGACCCACAATCTATCTTTATGCAAGGGATAATGTGCAGCGAGGCGGTCTCTATGGGGAAAAGAACACCTGAATCTAGATCCCTCTGCAGATGATACTTTAAGTATATTTTGATGCTAATACTTTTGTACTTTTACTTGTAACATTTTGAATGCAGGACTTTTTATTGTACAGGGTTCCTGCAGGTTTCGCCAACTCAAATTTTAGACTTTTTAACACCTTTTTAAGACCACTTTGAATAGAATTTAAGACCTATTTCACGGCAATAAAGTATGAAGGAAAATGTATATAAAGAAGAAATACGTCCCATAATCACTTACAAAGTAAATGTATTCATGTTCAACATAAGAACAGTGACTGAACACAACAGCGTAACAGTACAGAACTGTGTTAGCGTGTTAGACAAAAAGTGTGTGTATGTGTGTCCTTCTGTGTGTGCTTGAGTGTGTGTGTGTGTGTGTTAGGGCTGTGCAATTAATCATATTTTAATCGCAATTACGATTTTGGCCTGCCACAATTACGAAAACAACATAATCGTAAAAAACGATTATTTTGCTTTGCTAGGTTGTGACAGTGCACTACAACATATTTGATCTAATTAATTTGTTAGTAATGTATCATTTATTTAATTAATTTTTGTATTGGTTTTTCAGTTGAATTATAGTTCAGGGTAATCAACAGTTAAAAAGATACTGTTCAAATTATTATCTGTTTTTTAAAGTTCAATAAATGGATGTTTTCAAAGTCAATGAATAATCATATTTAATAATCGTGATATTAATTATTGACCAACATAATCTTGATTATTGCCATAATCGAGCAGCCCTAGTGTGTGTGTGTGTGTGTGTGTGTGTGTGTGTGTGTGTGTGTGTGTGTGTGTGTGTGTGTGTGTGTGTGTGTGTGTGTGTGTGTGTGTGTGTGTGTGTGTGTGTGTGTGTGTGTGTGTGTGTGTGTGTGTGTGTGTGTGTGTGTGTGTGTGTGTGTGTGTGTGTGTGTGTGTGTGTGTGTGTGTGTGTGTGTGTGTGAGTGTGAGAGAGAGTGACAAGAGCTATATTCAGAGCTCTGCTGCCTTGGCTACACTATTTAATCGTTGCTGTTGTATGATTGGTGTTTAGCTACGGTATTTAGCGTCTACAGCACCTCCGCTTTTAGGGTTGACGTAGACCCAAACTTCGCCCGGAGGTCCCCCGGTGTTGTTGCGGGAGCTGCTGCATTAGCTGCTGCACTAGCTAACGCTCCACTAGCTAACGCTGCACTAGCTAACGCTGCATTAGCTGCTGCTGCACTAGCTAACGCTACATTAGCAAAACAAACACTAATTTATTTTGCAAAAGGTGCAGCGGGCTTCAAACACGTTCCCTCCACTGGTTTCAACCAAGCACTAAATTAGATGTTTTCCAACCAAATACGGTTGAACTTACACTTCCCCATATTTATTTGTAAGTAGATTCGAAGATAGGCTACATGAGCTGAAGCTTGGTTGCTAGGTTACTAGCTGGGTGTTCTCCAACAAGGGGCCGGGGGAAACAAAGTTAGTGATTACTGGTTCCATGTTGATTTAATTCAATACAAATTGTTGGGGGGAACTGAAAGGCTGTTACCGTACTGGTTACTTTGCAGCCCGGACATTTCCCCCAAAACACATTTAGACGCTATCGCAACATAGAAGTACCTTTCAAATCCGATAATTTTTAAGACCTTCTGAATCATATTTAAGACCTTTTTAAGGCCTTCAATTCTGATTATCAAATTTAAGACTTTTTAAGACTTGTTAAGACCCCGCGGGAACCCTGATTGTAACTTTTTTTAATTGTCTGAACTTCTCCCACCTCTGACAATAAATCCTGAGTGTTTACCCTGCTCTGAAGGTTATTTTCATTTTACAAATCCTGCACTCAGCTTTGCTTTCTCCAATATCATTGAAAAGCAGCCAGATGCTGCTTCTTTTTTCGGTGTTCGCTCATTTCTTGACTTTTTCCGACACGCTTGCATTTAAATCCGGCTCCCCGTCTCCCCGTCGCTCTGCACATGCTGTGCCCCCACCCTTCTTTCACATAATGGTATGATCCTAGTGTGTCCTCGCATATGATTGGCCGCATGGTGGCCCAGCTAAATAAAGACCCGCCCCTGCCTGCAAGGATTCTCAGCAAGAGTAGGAGCGGCTGAAGATTCTGCTTTCCCCGACGGGAGTCTGCTCTTCTAGCGGCAGCTCGCGATCGGCGTGTTGGAGACCTCTGAATTAAAGTAGCAAGTCACCTCAAGTCAGAAGGCTCAAGTCCAAGTCAAGTCCCGAGTCATTGGTGTTCAAGTCCAAGTCGAGTCGCAAGTCTTTTGTGATGTTGTCAAGTCGAGTCTCAAGTCATAAAATGTGTGACTCGAGTCTGACTCGAGTCCAAGTCATGTGACTCGAGTCCACACCTCTGGTTATTGTTCAGTTAAAATTAATTAAATTATGTCTGCCACCTTATATATATTTATATTTAAGGATGTACTGTTGTGCCACAATAATGTCACCTAATATTATTGAGTTAAAATATCAATATTGTGGCTTTCCAAGTTAACATTGATTGATATGACTGTGATTAAATCAGCATATACTTCTGCCAGGGGATGCCCCCCTTAAAATCTCCTTCCACCCTCTTGCCACCCCATGAATATTTTTCTAGATCCGCCCCTGGTCCGTCGTTCTTATTATACATCCATGTAGTAGTCCGCTGTATAGAAAACTGTAGTTTCCATAGTTTCCCCACAGCAGCAGCAGACGCACATTTATGACATCCGCTGGCGCATCATAAACACGTCGACCCCCAAAATAACAGTACCAGTGACTGGTGATCCCTCAACGGGGAGGAGGCAACTTTAGAATAGGGAACCTGTTCAGGTCAATTCGAGTCAAACTAGCTTATTGGTTATGAACAAGACTTCACTTTAAAATAGGGAACATGTTCTTAGATATAAATACCTAATTTTGAGTTATTTAGATACAATTAACACTTATAGTTTCATGTCTTGTTACATAAAAATAGATCATATTTGTTAAGTGTTATTATGGGAGAATTACTATTCTTGTGGTACTACTGCCTTATTAGGCCCATATTGAGCAGAGCATATTAAGACTAAAACTCATGTACAACCACTTCCTTACTTGCAATAAATAAGCACTAATTAGAGTGTTATTGAGGAAAACTCTCAACTAATGGCTTATTACTTGTAGAATATCGTCATGTAGAATAAGGCATTAATACATGTTTGATAATGACTAATAAAGTGCCAATATACTGCTAATATGCATGTTAATTAACAACTAGTTGATGGTTAATTTGTGTACCTTAATATAAAGTGTTACCGATAGTAATTACTTCTGACTGAGATATGCTTTAAAGACAATTAATACAAACTCATTATTTAGCTGTGTAGTGCACATGTAGTTGTCTGGACCTGTCTCTATCTAAGTACATTTTGCTGGGCTGGGATTAGCCACCAGTCTCAATCATAAGGTCAGATCACTTGTGTGGCCATGAACTACTCTAAGTAATCAAGTATAAGATAATGTCATTGGTTCAACAACACAAAAACACATCAATCTTCTTTAAGTTATCTTGTTTTTTTTATTTAAAAAAAAATCTTTTATACTTTGCCCATGGAGATTCAGATTGTATCGTTTGAAAAAGTTACATTTTCTTTATGAGTAATTAAATGTTTGGAATACTGCTATGAATTATTGTGAAAAAGTATGGAAGAGATGTACGAGAAATGTGGATTTACTGAGTGAAATAACCAAGCTGCAATTCTGTCTCCAGGGAAATGGTTTATCAATTGGATTGAGACGCTTATAACTGCTAATAACCGCAAGGAACGTAAGTCTAACTTGTAAAATAAATCAAAGCTAAAGGTTTTTCTGTTTTCCTCAGACTTTTATTATATTACAGCAGTGATATTCATGTATATTACCTATCTGATTCTATTTTATCTTGTTTTTGTGTCTATTTACTGAGCTCTTAAATGTCTGTTTAGTATTATTATTATTACTACTTGTATTTCATGTCATTTTAAAATGTGTTGCTTTTGTACTATATGTCTTATTTCTGTTAATGTTTTTATAGAACATTGGTTTAAATCTGATAAATAAATAAACTTGACCTTGCATTTTGTTTTCTTTACCTCTCAACAGATCCCCGTTGCATTGTATTTCTGCAAGAAAACACATCTCAAGCAGGTGAGTAAAAACCGCTCGTCACACACATACTGCATTTTAAACAAGTTCACATTCGTATAGAATAAAAATGTAACTGTGTGTCTGTTGTTATTCAACAGAAATCTTTGAGGAGAAATTACTCCAAATAGTTCAACATAATGGTTCTCAGCTACTGCTCATCTCAAATTGGCATGCCAAAAGGAATTTCAATATGTTTGTCCTGACAGGAAGGTGCAACACTACATTAACTCCTATGAAAGGTGATATTACACAACTACATTGATGCGTGTGTGTGTGTGTGTGTGTTTGTGACCTAGCATTACTATCCTTGTGGGGACCTACATCTGTTTACACAGTCTCGTGTGGGGACTCATCTCCCTTATGGGGACATATCTTGAAAAAGCATGCAGATAAACAATACAATTAATAGAGCAGTGTTTAAGGTAAAAACGTGTTTTGTAAAAAATGCACACAACAAAACAAATTCATGCTGAATAAACAAGTAAAATAATAAAATAAAAAGATACATAAATAAGGGTTCGGGTTAGGCATGTGTTGGTTATGGTTAGGATAAGTCTCCAGGAAATGCATGTACGTCAATGTAACGTCCCCTGAAGTGATATAAATATGGTGTGGGTTTGTGTGTGTGTGTGTGTGTGTGTGTGTGTGTGTGTGTGTGTGTGTGTGTGTGTGTGTGTGTGTGTGTGTGTGTGTGTGTGTGTGTGTGTGTGTGTGTGTGTGTGTGTGTGTGTGTGTGTGTGTGTGTGTGTGTGTGTGTGTGTGTGTGTGTGTGTGTGTGTGTGTGTGTGTGTGTGTGTGTGTGTGTGTGTGTGTGTGTGTGGCCTTTATAAACCTAATGCTACACTTAAAGAATATGCAAATGTAATGTGTTACTGTTCATTTTCTCACAGATTCAAATCTAAATTGCACCTACAGTTACACTGGCGAAGGTAAAATAATTCATTTTCACAGTTTAATCTGGAAATCTGATATAGTGAAAATAGAATTTATAAACATGTACTCACACTTAACGTAAACATTGGAATGATAAATAACGTCACTTTTAATCAAAGTCCATTTCTTTACCATCCCACGTAGAACCAGGTAGTGATTTGATAACTTCAAGTTACTTTTACAGACATGGTCAAATAATTTCACATTTCTACGTACTTTCTAAAGTGATGTGCTTCTATCATTTTGTGCCTTTTTCTTCTTCACTGTTTTCCTTAATAGGACCTTGCCAGGTTAGATGTTTCGAGACAAAGAAAATGTGTAAAAAAACAAGATATAATGAAGAAGTCTGCAGACAAATTGGTAAGTTCCCTTCAGATAAGCAAAGAACAGAGGTGGTAGAAGTACTCATATATTGTACTTTAGTAAAAGTAGAAATACCACAGTGTAGTAATACTCTGTTAGAAGTAAAAGTCTGGCATTGCAAATGTTACTCAAGTAAAAGTACAAAAGTATTAGCATCAAAATATGGTTAAAGTATACAGATTGGCCCATTTTCAAATAATATATATATCATGTTTTGATTATAATGATTGATCATTAAAGTGTTCTCAAAGCTGGTAAAGGTGCAGCTAGTTTTAAGGACTTTCTATACGGCAGGGTAGCTTGTGAATTTACTCCAGGTGGAACTAAAGTCTGATTTAAGAGCTGATTATATTTCAGATCATTAATCCAATTCTGCAAAGTAACTAAATATATTAAATAAATGTAGTGGAGTAAAAGTACACGATGTACCTCTGAATTGTAGTGGGGTAGAAGTACAGAGTTAGCACAAATTGGAAATACTCAAGTAAAGTACTACTATTTTGAAATTATACTTAAGTAACATACTTGATTAAATGTACTTACACCACTGGCAAAAGTATGATATAATGTATGAATGGGTAATGTCTCCTCTGATTTCTGTCTGTTTTGCCCAGTATTATGATCATCATGCTGTTATAACTGGCTTAAAGTGGCACAAACTGGTACCCGCTGCAGTATCTTTGACTCAGATGCTTGAAATGAAACTCCTTTCCTTTCAGATCCAAATATCAATGACAAGTACATCATCAACCTCACAAATCCAATCGAAAACTGCTTCAAATGTGATAATCCAGAGAAAAAGCCTGAGAAAAATCTTAAATGGAATAAAACGTCAAAAGTAATTGAAGACGGAGAAAAAGTCGGTGCTGCCCAAGCTGTGTAAGACACGCTGCATTCAATCGTTAAAGGAATTGTTTGATGGAAACATGCTTTTTATTTTGCTTGCTTTCTATATGATAGTGAAATAAAAAGAAAACAACACTACTGTAAAGTTTCCAGAGATCATAATGTGCCTTGCAGCACATCTAACGCTAACTCATTAACATCTGGTTTGTTTGTACACAAATAGAAATGCAAAAACTGTAACTTTGTAACTGCTGTCAAAACTCCGGGAAGTCACAGCTTCCAGAAATAATTGCAACGCGGTATTCCTTTTAAAAACAGCAAGCCTACATTTCTGTTTGTGTACGAATTAACCATACAAGGTACTCCCAGGACAGTAATATGTCAAAAATATTGTCATAAACACTGAGTAAAATATCTTAACCAACATCAGTGTTGAGACAAATAACAAATATTCACTGATTGTGAGAACATTTACACTTTTAATGCCAGTAAGTTTGAAAAAACCCTCATGAAATACAAATGATTTACCCTATAATATATACTAGGGATTGTTTTTTTTACAGTTTTTCAATAATAATAATGACAATCATTTTTAAATGCATTTATTCAAACACTGCAGTGCTCCATATCACAGCAGCAATGCCCAATAGGTCAAACATGAGAACATGGCTCAACAGGTAGAAAAGAGTAAAAACTACATTGTTGAAGTCAGAGCTTTTGATTGATATAATAGATAATGTTATGCTGATATGGCCATGTGGTCACACATCTTGGTTTTTATTGTCAAAGGTTATGCCGTTATGCAAGGGTTATGTCAAAAATAACAATGTGTATATCCAGGTATTGACTTTTATAAATGCGTGTGAAACTCTATATTCTAAATACATTTGATTTTCTTCCATCTGACAACAGTGAAATCATGAACAACATGGCCAACTTCATCACCTCCTTCGAAGGGAATTCTGCTGCGGTGTCTGTGGCAGAAGGAATTTCGGGAGTCTTAGTGAAGAAACCGGATCCCGAGGACATCGAAGAAATCAGCTTCGCTTATAATTCCCCAAATGAAAGCATGAATGTGGGTGCACCACTTTTATTTTACCTGCATGTGTTACAGTTTCTACTCCTTACGAACTTCAGAAAGAATGTAGGCCATGTTCCTGCTTAATTGAGAGTGGTGAATTAAGTCGTTTAGTTTATTAAGTTTTCTCATTTTAGTTTTTGATAAACCTTATCTCTTACTGGTTTCCTTTCCAAGAGTGAAGTAGAAGGATCAAATCCAATCCAACATACTTGTTACCTAAATACTAATTCCATGCATTATAATTGGATCCAGGACTCAACACAATTGTTCTGTTCTTCCCTGCAGATAGTAGAAAGCAGGGATGTTCTCGGCAAATTTTCCAGAAGTGTGTCAGTGTCCAAGGAAGCGTTTGAAAAGACTGCGAGTTTGAACAAAACAGTTCCATTTGTCGCTCTTTTCCGATTCAACAATCTGGCTTCGGAAAGTACCAATATCTGATTTTCAATGATACACTAAATGCACCCGACACATTTGATCATGTTGCTTTATTTTTTATTTCAGGATGAGCTGAACAGCACCGTTTTAGGCAATGAAGTCCTGGCAGTTGAAATGGGAACCAACATCTCCAATCTCACAGACAAAATGTCCATTCATTTTCGAGACATTACCTACGTGAGTAAAAAAAAAGTGCCTCTTTGAAGATATACTTGAGTTTGTCAACCATCCATTTAGTCCTGGTGTTTTTCTTACAGGAAGGATATCCCTCTTGTCAATCTTGGAATGGTGAAGGTATTGTCCTTTTACTTATCTGCAAGTTTATATGAGATATTGCTTGAAATAAATGCAATATAAAACCTGTGAGTGATGGTGCACGCTACCCTTTACCTTTAACCAAATGTGATCCGTGCAGTTTGATGTTTCTCTGTAATAAGTTGGCTCAAGTATTATTTTTGTATTGTAATAATAGCTTTAATATGGTGGCCGACAGGTGCAAACGTGCGACAATGGCGCTGCAAGTTAAAAAACGATGCAAAAACAGCCCATTTCTCCTAGTGGAAATGTTGTGTAATTTCGTTGGTTCAAAGCTGCAGATAGTAACCGCTGCTTTGCCCCATAATTGAAGAGCAGATAGAACATCAAATATCACAAAATAAAATGGTTGTCTATGTAAAAGGACTTTATTTCATAAGACATTCTCACATGTCACAGCAGGAAAATCACATGTAAATTATACAAATAATGATGGCTCAATTCAAATTGGCTGCTCCAGTTTCAGAGTCATACGGCCATGGCCTACTGCTACACTGGAACACAATAATGCTAATTGTATTAGTCAAATCTCTCTTATCTACTATAACTAGTCCCATGAGGGCTGTGGAAAATAACTATAACCTTAACAGTCAGCAAGGTAAACACATTATTCTGTAAACAATACACGAAACAATCTTTTTTATTCTTTGTCTGACACACATAAAAGAATAAAGACACTTCACATCACGTCTGGGTTTAATGTTTAAGCAGCTTCACCTCTTCACTGTTTACTCGTGTGTTTCTGTCTTTAAGGAAGCCGACCAAACTGGACCGATTACGGGTGTGAGACAATACAAAAGGGGAACAACATCACGTGCCAGTGTTCGCATTTGACATTTTTTGCTATTTTGTTGGTAGGTCTTTGATTATATTTTCATACCATACTGATCTTGATCTTCCTTGTGGACCAAACATATTTGGACATTCCTCTGATGGTCTAAACTGCACTCTGTATTCACGCCTTTGTTTTCCTTTAAAGATTCCCTATTATGCTTATTTGTTTTTTTCTTTCCTGTGTTATGTAGGTTTATGTAAAAGGTCTGCAAAGGCTGAAATCCAAAAGTTTCTTTGTTTCCTTCTGTAACATAGTGACATCACTATGTAACACTCGTGCTTCTATTGGAAAGCGCTCCAACACATTGTAAGTGACAGGCTAAGGGGCGGGACATCTCTAAGTGGTTGACCAATCACAACAGAGCTGGCCAGCTAACCAATCAGAGGAAAAATAAAGAGCTTTTTGAACATTAAAGCATGGAGACATGTCACAGTAGACTGGAGGCACACAATACAAATATGAACCTACATTTCACAGCTCTTTAATAATAATAATAATAATAATAATACACCATTCTGACTACAAATGCCAATCCCTGTGAGGAAAGTTTAATTTTTGCTCTTTTTGCAGGCTCCTCCTAATGTGACCATATCTAGTTCTGACCTGAAGAACCTCACCATGATCACCCAGGTCGGCTGTGGCTTTTCCTTGTTCTTCCTCTCCATAGTCCTCTTCATGCACTCTCTTCTGAGGTAATTATACATCTCATAAATCTCATCTTTAGCCTGCATGCGTATGTATAGTATTCCATAGTAAAATTACTCAATCATTTATTCTTTGAGTAATGTTTGACTAAAAGGAGTCTTGCATTATAAAAATAATGTACTTAGTCCAAGAGTACCACCATGTGTGCCTTTTTTAGGCTGCAGAATGAAAACCCTCTTAATATGTGGAGATATGAGTATTCAGGTTATTTGTATGCAAGTTTTCAAATTTCTTTAAGCATTCATACTGAGATTGACAAAATCTCGTTTTCAATCCCAATTAGTAGAAAAAAAGAGATAGAAATCAATCGACAGTTACAACCAAGTTACACATTTGTGCCGTCTTCATTTGTTATTTTCTATTGCTAGGAGTGCAACAATGTAAAACACCATCACCAAGTAAACAAAACAGAAAAACCTCTCTGGTTGTTGTCCTTGATCTCTGCGGTTAATGTCCTGTAAAATAATGTAAATGTGTCTGCTCTCCAGAACAGGAAACACTAGAGAACACATTCGCTGTAGGGAAATGAGACTGTTGAGACTGTGGCTTCATTCATCTGGGATGTCTTTCCAATGAATGCGTATGAAAATAAAAATAATATGGGTATGTGAGGGCAAAAAGGGTGTAGATACAATTATATAATTACTATGATCTGTGTTTTAAGACGCGTTTGAATCCTGTTATAATAAATGTATGATGATTATTTTCATTACGGATTAATCAGTTGTTTTTTTAATTAATACATTTTTTTGAGGGGGGGGGGTGTTTGAACATGTTTTAAATAATTAAGAGATGCCGTCACAGTTACCCAAACTCAGCAAAATCTAGATTTGTAGTAATTACAGCCATCAGAGAAAAGTAGTGGCTTAGGAAGTCCAATATTTATTTATGAAATGCAGTGGGGTGCGAGAGAGAAAGAGAGTGAGAGTGAGAGTGAGAGTGAGAGTGAGAGTGAGAGAGAGAGAGAGAGGAGAGAGAGAGAGAGAAGAGAGAGAGAGAGAGAGAGAGAGAGAGAGAGAGGAGAGAGAGAGAGAGAGAGAATAGAGAGAGTCTCTCTCTCTCCTCTGCTCTCCTTCTCTCTCTCCTACTCCTCTCGCTCTCTCTCTCTCTCTCTCTCTCTCTACTGTCCGCTCTCTCTCTCATCCTCTCATCTGCTCTCTCTCTCTCTGCAATCTCCTCTGCATCTCCTCTCTTCGCTGCTCATCTTCTCTCGCTCGTACGTCTCTCGCTCTCTCTCTCTCTCTACTCTCTCTAATCTCTCTTCTGCATCGCTCTCTCCTATCGCTCTCTTCTATCTCCTCTCTATTCTCTCTCTCTCTGCTCGTATCTACTCTCGCGCCTCTTCTCTTATCTATAGATAAGCTTACTCTCAAGAGCGGGAATACTCTATAACAAATCTTTTGCGATTGCAGCAGCAACAGGGCAATGTACATAAGAGAAATTAAGACACTAGAAATAAACAGTCCAACATATTTCTGAAATAAAAATAAAATAGCATCAAAAAGTTATCAATATTAAATTGAACATAAATGTAAAATGTACAGTGGAAGTTTGAGTCCAGTTATCAAGAGAAGCTATGGAGCAGAGAGTAGTCCGAAAACCAAAGCACTTTACAATAGTATAAACTGAGGAAATGATAATCAAAGCTAGTTGAAGCTGTGTGATGCCCCTGTGGGGTCATCTGGAGAGGGTGTGGCTGTGCTGCATCCAGCTCGATCCAGCTGCATTGATTGCAGTAACTCAGGGCACCTGGGTCTGGTGCCCTGCAGCTATTTAAAGCCTCTCTGCTCCTCTCTGCTTTCTGATATAGGCACCCGGTTCGGATGAGTATGTTATTAGTTATTTCAGTTGTTTTACTTTGTGCACTTCAACACCCTCACACATACATGTTCATGCAATCCTCACCCTGCAGTTACATTACTGATACCACTGACGTTCACACCTCATGCTTTACTTGTTTTGCACTTGATTAATTTGGCTAATTTGAATCACTTGCTTTAATAAACAGCTTTTTCTAACTGTTGATATGGTGTGTCTCCTCTTTGTTGTGGCCTTCTGAGCCAGGTCATAACATTACCGGTAAATGTTTAGTTTCTGACACTTATTTCCTAATTCTTTGTTAAAAAAAACACATCATAAAAAGCAAAAATATATATGCTTGTCACCCTTTACAGGAGGACCAATGCCAGCATATCCACAAGGATTCTCATCTACCTGATTGTAGCCTTGTACCTGCTGAATTTGTCGTTCCTCATCAACAACTTTGTGGCCAAAGGGGGGAACGCGCTGGGATGTAAGATCATGGCGGCTGCCATGCACTACTCCATGTTGGCCACGTTCACTTGGTTTGCTGTGCAGGCGTTCCACCTCTGCCTGCAGCTGCACGTCGGAGGCAAGGTTGTAATCCCTCACTACATACTCAAGGTCTCCATCATCAGCTGGGGTGAGTTCAACATCTTACTGTTTAACCTGAAAATACACCATAATATGTGACAATAAATCACTCTATTTCTCCCATTCACAATATCTCGTGTGAAAAGGCAATATTCAACATAGGCTCTATTTACATTACATGTTACTTGTTAGACGCTTTTATCCAAAGCGACTTACATACATTCTGTACTGTGGGCAATCCCCACAGGAGCAATTTGGGGTGAAGTGTCTTGCCCAGGGACACAACGACATGTCCCTGGGACTCGAACTTGCTACCCCCTGATTCCAAGTTCAGCACACTAACCACTGAGCCACAGCCTCCCTACACAAATATACTTTGAGCTGTGCTTGTCT